TTTTTTGTTTGTTTGTTTGTTTGTTTGTTTTTAGAGAGGGGAATGTGGGGGAGGGACAGAGAGAGAGAGAGAGAGAGCAAGAATCCAAAGCTGGCTGCACACCTAGCATAGAGCCTGATGAAGCCTGACGAGGGGCTCAGTCTCACAACCCTGAGATCATGACATGAGCCGAAACCAAGAGTCGGACATTTAACTTACTTGAGCCATCCAGGTGCCCCCAAATTTTGTATTTTAAAATGTATTCTTTGATTGCACTTTGCAGAAGGAAGAAAAAAGTACAGTTCATTGCTTTTATACTGGGCTATTTATATACTTTTAAACTTTTCCAGTTGCCTACAGTTAGGTATATATGGAAAGCATTTGAACTTAGGGATAGCTACATTATACATTTGTTTAAATATGTATTTTTACTTCAGATAGTGTTAGAAATAGGACTCCTGAAATTGATAAATTGTGTTTGAACTAATGGAAGTCCAGGTCAAGTGTTAGAACAAATTCCATATTCCTGGTGTATTATACCTATTATTACTATCCTAAAGCTCAAAAGAGCCTACAGATTAAAAATCTTAAAAATGTTTAATTCTGCTTCTAAGAATTCAACCTGAGAAAGTATGGTAGAAGCTTGCTTAACAAACTCCAGACTATGCTCTCCATTCTGTTTGCAAGTATGTTGAATGGTACTGCTATGTTCTTACTCTGTGGTAGGGTTCTACACTCTGCTTCAGCCAGTTCAAGTGGGCCTTGTCAATGCCCTCCAGTCACAGACCACTGGGGACACAGAGGTTATAGAACAAGTTGGGTTTATTACTCATTGTAGGGAGTGAAATTGCATATGGGAAATTGTGGGGTATTTTAGTAGAAGTGTTCAAAAGGATTTATTATGGAATTTGAGCTTGTATTAGGTGATTTGGGGAAGGGTTTAAGGAAGAGGGTCTTTGCTCTGGATGGGATATTGTTAGGATGTGGGCTGAGTCTTTAGGTGTCTTAATAAGTCTTATCTAGGGGGAAGGCTGAATAGACAGAGACTAAAAGCTACACCTGCTGGAGAAGCAGCAGTCACCCCTGTCAGCCAGGAGAGGGGGATGTTTGGTATTTGGTAGGTTGCAAAATGACCTTATTTTTTGTCCAGACAAAATTTTGAAGTGTTTTTGTTTTGTCTCACTTTTTCATGGTCTCGGAGTGACCTTGTCTGATGTTGATGTTTTGTGAGATTGTTTATGTCCAACAGGAAAATAGCATGGCCTAGCTTCCCCCTGGCCTGCTTCAGACGTCATTAAGGCCTAGCTGTCAGTGTCAAGCACTTTTTCTTCCTCTTAGTAAGAATCAGTTGAAATCTGTTTATCTCTATTGTGCTTTTTGTAATTATAGAATTTAATTAGATCATATATAAAATACTTTGTGTTTTACATAAAACAATTCGTGTAGAAAGAAAGGGATTATTTCAATGAAAACTTGAACATTTTTGGAAAGACTTACTAAGATGAATTGCTAAAAGCATTTTTTTTTTTTTTTTTTAGATTTTTATCTTTTATTTATTTGACAGGCAGAGATCACAAGTAGGCAGAGAGAGAGAGAGGTGGAAGCAGGCTCCCTGCTGAGCAGAGAGCCCGATGCGGGGCTTGATCCCAGGACTCTGGGATCATGACCTGAGCCGAAGGCAGAGGCTTTAACCCACTGAGCCACTCAGAAGCCCCGCTAAAAGCATTTTTTAAATTGCTATTGAATTAGGGGTGGATAAAAGGCAAAAACAAGTAGGCCATTTAGACCACATTTTTTTTTTTTTTTTAAAGATTTTATTTATTTATTTGACAGAGAGATCACAAGCAGGCAGAGAGAGAGGAGGAAGCAGGCAGAGAGAGAGGAGGAAGCAGGCTCCCCTAGAGAGCAGAGAGCCCGATGTGGGGCTCGATCCCAGGACTCCGAGATCACGACCTGAGCCGAAGGCAGCAGTTTAACCCACTGAGCCACCCAGGCGCCCCTAGACCACATTTTTACCAGAATTTTACTGATTGCTTTACAAGTATCTTCTGGTTCTCAGTCCACTTTAAAGAAACCCCCATTATAAATTGAAATGATATATCATAATTATGACGTATACAGTAAAGATGATGTGAAACTTTTTATCACCAAAGCCATACCTACAGACAAGGAGTTGACTTTGTTACAAAGATCAGTGAATTAACATACTTTGGTATGTTTTAATTTAAAATAAATATTTGAGACATGTATATGTTCTTTTTTTGATTCCTCACTCAAAGCAACATTTTAAATTAACCTACCAACTATAGTTCTGATTTTCAGGTAACAGGCCTTTACTATGCAAAAAAAAAAAAAAAAAGGCTACATGAAGATTTAGGTGCAAAATTGTTCATTAAAATTTAAAATAATAGAGGCTCCTGGGTGGCTCAGTGGGTTAAGCCCCTGCCTTTGGCTCAGGTCATGATTCCAGGGTCCTGGGATTGAGCCCCGAATTGGGCTCTCTGCTCAGCGGGGAGCCTGCCTCCCCCACCTTTCTCTCTGCCTGCCTCTCTGCCTACTTGTGATCTCTGTCAAATAAATAAATAAAAACCTTTAAAAAATAAATAAATAAAATTTAAAATAAGAAAAAAAGAAAGAACCTGTTTATTAATGGACGTGATGAAATTATAATCAAAAGGTGAAATACTATATAGTTATTAAAAGTCATTTTTCAGATACTATCTTTTAATAAGAAAAATGCTCATACAGTATGAAATGTAAAGAGTAAATCACAAAACCAAATAAACTATGACCGGAATTTTAAGAATGAATATGTAAAAATTTTAAATGCAAACAAAGTGTACATTTATAATTTGGAAGAAAATGAGCCAGGAAATTGACAGTTTACCCCAAATACTGGGATTTCAGAGGTTTTAAATTTTATTTTCTATGCTCCTCTATACTTTCCAGGTATTCTATGATAAGTAGCTTACCTTTTTTTAATCAGGGGAAGTACATTTCTTTTTTAAAAGTTTTTATTTAAATTCCAATTAGTTAACATACAGTGTAATATTAGTTTCAGGTATACAATTTAGTGATTCAGTATTTCGATACAATACTTGGTACTTATCACAAGGGGAAATACTATTGGTTGTTGTTGTTGTTTTTTAAAGATTTTATTTATTTATTTGACAGAGAGAAAGATCACAAGTAGGCAGAGAGAGGGGAGGATGCAGGCTTCAGGCTCCCTGCTGAGCAGAGAACCGGATGTGGGGCTCCATCCCAAGACCCTGAGATTATGACATGAGCCGAAGGCAGAGGCTTAACCCACTGAGCCACCCAGGCGCCCCTGGTTGTTCTTTTATTTTTTTTTTTAAAGATTTTATTTATTTATCAGGGCGCCTGGGTGGCTCAGTCATTAAGTGTCTGCCTCCAGCTTGGGTCATGATCCCAGAACCCTGGGATCGAGCCCCACATTGGGCTCCTTGCTCAGCAGGAGGCCTGCTTCTCCCTCTCCCACTCTCCCTGCTTGTGTTCCCTATCTCACCGTGTCTCCCTCTGGCAAATAATAAATAAAAAAGATTTAGTAAATAAAAAAGATCCATCTCACAACTCTGAGATCATGACCTGAGCCAAAACCAAGAGTAGGTTGCCCAACTGACTGAGCCATACAGGTGCCCCAAGATGTATATTAAATGAAAAGCCAAATTGAATGTATAGTAGGCTGTCATTTGTGTCTTAAATCTTTTGAGAAATGACAGCACACACTGGAAGGATATAAAAGGAACAATAGTGGCTTCTTATAAGGAAAGAATGGATACCCTTTCACTTTATATCTTTCTCTCTTGTGTGTGCTTTAATATAATAGTTATATATAACTTAGAAATTTTTAACTAAAATAAGTGTCTGATCTTTTGAAAGATTGTAATACTTAAGCTATAGTCATAAGTCATGAATGTTTAATCCATCTCTACTTACCTGCGTAAGTATAGAGTTCCCCTTATTCTAATATCCTGTCATCCACTCTCAGTTCAGGATAATAGCTTTCTTCAAAATTTACTTCCATTGGGATTCATTGTTTACCTGAATTTGCTATCCTTAAGTTTTTGATTGACGTTGTACCTTATTTTCGTATTTTATTCCTTTAGCTCACCTACGTTGTTTATTGTTTCCCAAAGGATTTAAGACTGCTTATTGTAAGATATAATTACAATTATATAAGCCAGGGGCATGTAGGTGGCTCAGTCAGTTAAATGTCTGCCTTCGGCTCAGGTCATGATCTCAGGGACCTGGGATGGAGCCTGCTTTTCCCTCTCCCTCTGCCTTCCACTCGCCCTACTTGTGCGCTCGCATGCTCTCTCTCTCAAATAAAACAAACAAAAAAAAAACAATTTATAAGTTAATATAGTTCCACAGTTGAGGAGTAAAATCAACTTCTGTTTCCTGGAAGGGGAGAAGAAATTCTGAGTTCAGTAGTTCTTGTGATTTGACAAAAGAACACATAATCATTTTGTTTAAAAAAAAATATATATATATATTTTTTTTTTCTTTTTCTAAATTTTGAGAAGACATCTTTCATGGGCCCTTTTATGCAATTTATACTTCTCCAATTGTTTGTTGTTTTTGTTTATCCAACTAAATTATAAGCTTCCTTAGGACAAATTCCATTTTGTTCCATACTATTTTTGTTCTATCTATACCTAGAAAAATGCCCTTATTATAGTTGAAATTATAAATTAAGCAACAACTACAACCCAGCTACATTTTAAAGATTATGTTATTGCCCCTTTTCAAAGATACAGTCTTTGAGCAATTTAGAAATTGATCCTACTTTCATTCTTCTCAGCAGGGAATCTACTCTGATCACCCTCAAAAATCCCAATTTATTTCTTAGTGGGTAAATGTTACCAGGTTCTTTTGTAGCCCCTATTTACTGAGTATGTAATGTAAAGAGAATAGGAAATTCGTTTGAACTTGTGTTTTTGATGGTTAAATATTTTTAAATAGGGCCTATAGCTTTCAACCACATTTTTTTCTCTTAGGCCAAGTTATCAAGGCATGGGACATTGGGGTGGCTACCATGAAGAAAGGAGAGATCTGCCATTTACTCTGCAAACCAGAGTATGCATATGGATCGGCTGGCAGTCTCCCCAAAATTCCCTCAAATGCAACTCTCTTTTTTGAGGTAAGTACGTGTGCGATGTTGCCTTGTTAGCATCTGTTCTACTATAGTGCTGGCTCTGAAGCAACAGGCAGTGGAACAAGTAGCTAGGCTTGCCACTGAGAATCAGATCCAACTTATTTATTTTGGAGCTTGGCTTCTTGAATTGTTTCCCACAAACCCAAGGGGTGTGTGCCAGTGCTTTCTTAGAAACGTGTTTCTGGCACAGAAAGGTTGTATCCAAATAAACAAAAGACACCAGGCTTAAGAAATAAAGGTTCTGGTCAGTGGCGTGAGTATAACCTACTTGAAATTGCCCAGAAGATAGGTTGGAAAAGGGGAGGTAAAGTGTTAAAGTGTACCCAAACCAAATTGTAAGGTATTCTCATATTATACAGGTTTACTCTTTGTCACAGATCTCACTCCTTCATTAGAAGTGGTAGGTGGTAATAATCTTATTCACCCTATGTTGACTTTTATATATTTGTCCAAATCTGATTAAAAAAATTAAGGGAGGAAATGCCTGAAACATCATAACTAGGTAAAAAACACCTATAGTTGATCATAGGCCTGATTCATAAGATTTATTTTTACATTGAAAAAGGGAATTCCATGAATCTGGGGTGGAAAGGTGGTGGCCTTTAGAGTCAGATAAAACAGTTCTGGGCCAGCACCTTGTAGTTCTGGCTTTTTGCCCACAAGGCAGCTTTCCTAGTATTTCCTGTCTGTCTTTGCACTGCAGCCGCACAGGATGTAGTCCTAGACATTGTCATTACGTGAAGGCTCTTTCCAGGTATTGAAAGTGCAGTGTTCCTTTTTTCCTACTTTTCCAATAACTGAGATGCATAGATAAATATAAAAGAGTTTTATTTTGTAAAATGAAAGGAGAATTGGTTGCCCTTGTCTTTAAGTATGTTCTGTTGGCTCTGTTTGGTCTTTTCTCAGCCAGATCCTTTTTTTCCTTTCTAGATTGAGCTTCTTGATTTCAAAGGAGAGGATTTATTTGAAGATGGAGGCATTATCCGAAGAATCAAACGGAAGGGAGAAGGATATTCAAACCCAAATGAAGGAGCAACAGTAGAAAGTAAGTGTTGCTGTGACAACAATACTTAGTCCTTAAAAGCTGGGCTCCATTTATGGGGATAAAATGGAGATTTCTTTCTAAAAATGGGTTTATAGTAATAAACAAATATAGCCCAAGAATAGTTTCAAATTGAACATTTATTAAGTAGTGACTTTATTTGGTAAATATTCATTCCAGCATGTCCATGCCAGGTCCTGTGCCAGCTTCTGTAGACCCAGAAAGTGAATAAAAGGTAATCCCATCCATCAAGTCCAAATCTATGGACTCCTTCATGTGCCAGCAACTAAGTTAGCTGCCTTACATATTTATTTATTCATTTATTTCTCCCAATAACATTATGAGATAAGATTTATTATCCCCAGGTAAGAAAAGTAAGTTGAGGGAAGTTACATAAATTGCCCAAGGTTACAGAGTTACTAAACAGAGCAGTTAGATTGTAGTGCACTTCAGAACTCTCAAACCCATTTCACTGGCTTTTCTCAAGATGAAAAAGTTCATCTTATATCAAAATTGGATAAAATTGTTCATTCTATTCTAGGAGACCTTGGTTCAAGTTCTCCTTTGCCATTTATTGGATGACTTAAAGCTATTCCATTTTTTATTTGCTAAGTTGGGAGTAAGGATACTACTGAGGACTGGCATACTGATCACTCCTCCTCCCTCCTAGAGTACGTTCGACGTACCGTCATATACCCCATTTGTCATCATGTACCCTATACTATAATCAGTGCTTGCCCCTTTGCCCAGTATCCAGCTTGAGCACCAGAATCTTTCTTCATCTTTTTGTTTCCAGCATCACCTACAGCACTTTCCACTGTAGGTGTAAGGTAGATGCTCTCTACTTGGACAGATGTTTGAAAGATGCCATTCTCTGGGCTGAAGTACTTTCAAAAAGTTGTGAGAAGACATGGAAAAATACTTCCACTAAGAAAACACTCAAAGCACTAAAAAAGGATGGCAAATGAGCTATGATAAAAGTTTATTTTATATAAAATTTTTATTTTATTTAAAATATTTTATTTAAATATTTTATTTAAAATAAAGAGTTCATTTGGAACAGTAAACCAGAATGGTTGATCTTCTTATCTTTACCATTGTTTATACTATTTGAGACCCATGTTTCATTTCTGAGAGTCTGGCAAATTAGTTCAGATTGAGTTACTCAGGGGGTATAGCTCAGGGGTAGAGCATTTGACTGCAGATTGAGTTACTCATTTAATTGGAACCAGTTATAGTAATACTGTACTATTGCAGTTGAAATGTTTAGGTAACTATTATCATGGTAACTTTTTGGAATAAATGAAGAGGAGCTCACATGTTGGAGAAATAGCTAGACCAGGAGTCAGAGATAGGATTCTGGCTTCAGCTGACTCTAACTAGCCCTTGCCTCTCTGAGTGTTAGCTTCCTTCCTTTCTAATGACACAGGGGTAGACATCTTAATTTGTAAGGTCCTACTAGCCCTGAACATTCCATGACAGAATTCTAGGAAAGTTACAGGGATGATAGAAAATTACCTTTAGCAAGTGCACAAAAGGTTATCTATAACATATATTATAATTTTTTATTATGAAAATTTTCAAACATATACAACAATAGAGATTTTTCCCCATATGATATAGTAACTCCCCAAATTCAACAATTTATAATGAATATTTTTAAACTGGAGGTTTTTGGCAACCAAAATAAAAGGAAAAACTTTTCCTGATTATTGACAAGGCCACAAAGCCACCACTGCAGAGTTAACTTTGGGGCAGGCTAAATTCAATCAGATCTTGCTTTTAGTAGTATTTTCAGTGGGAGTCTTTATTTTTAGCTTTCCATTTTAAAATAATTTTCAACTTACAAACTGTGAAACTAGTACAGAGAATTTCTCCTATATGCTTCACCCAGCTTCCCCTAATGTTCACATCTTCCCTCGCCACGGTACATCTATCAAAGTCAGGAAATTAACCTTAATGGAATACTGTTAACTGTTCTGTAGATCTTATGTGAATTTCATCAGTTCCCACACCGATGTCCTTTTTCTGGTCCATGGTCAGATTCAGGATCCACCATTATTATTGTATTTAGTCCCTCTAATAGTAGCCTCTCCAGTGTGTGACAGTTGATAAGTCTTTCTGTGATTTTCATGACTTTAACACTTTTGAAGATAACTGGCTGATCTTAGAATATACTTCAGTTTGGGTTTGTCTGATTAGATTGAAGTTACACATTGTTTTGAAAAATGCCATATAAGTGATGTGCCCTTCTCAGTTCTTCATTATCAAGGGGTACATGTTAGTGATGATACTAACTTGGGTCCCTTGGTTAAAGTGGGGTCTGCCATGTTTCTCCTTTGTAAAGTTCCTATTTTTGCCTTACTAAGTATCTCACTGGCAGAGAACTACTAGGAGACCATGCGGAGGTCTTTTATATCATACCTTCACGTGCTGATTTTAACATCCATGAATGATTTTTGTATGCAACAGTTATTACTGTAGTACTTGCCTAATGGAAATTTTTCTACTTCCATTGTTCTTCTACAGTTTAATTGGAATTCTGCTATAAGGAAGAGCTGCCTCCCCTCCCCTGTTTATTCAGTTATTTTCAATAGTGTGGACTCATGGGAATTTATTTTATTCTGTAGGTTATTATTCATTGCTATTCTTATTTGTTGCTCAAATTGTCCCAGGTTTGGCCATTAGAAGGTTCTTTTCAATGTACCTTCTTTGATTTTTAAGCACTTCCTTACTTTTTTTTGTTTTGTTTTGTTTTTTTAAGATTTTATTTATAAGGTGCCTGGATGGTTCAGAAGTCTCTGCCTTCAGCTCAGGTCACAATCTCCGGGTCCTGGGATTGAGCCCCAGGTCAGGCTTTCTGCTCAACTGGGAGTCTACTTCTCCATCTCCCTCTGCCTCTCCCCTGCTTGTTTTCTCTCTCTCTCACTCTCTCTCTCAAGTAAATAAATAAAATCTTTTTTTTTTTTTAAGATTTTATTTATTTGCCAGAGAGAGAGAGAGAGAGAGAGCGAGCGAGTACACACAAGCAGGCAGAGGCAGCGAGAGAAGCAGGTTCCCTGCCGAGCAAGGAGCCCGATGTGGGACTCGATCCCAGGACCCTGGGATCATGACCTGAGCCGAAGGCAGTGGCTTAACCCACTGAGCCACCCAGGCGTCCCAATAAAATCTTTTTTAAAAGCAATTTTACTTAATTGTTTTAAAGAGAGCAAGCAGGGGGAGAGGGACAGAGGGAGAGAATCCCAAGCAGACTCCATGCTAAATGCAGAGCCCAACCCAGGGCTCAGTCTCATGACCCCAAGACCGTGATCCTAGCTGAAACTAACAGTTGGACGCTTAACCAGCTGAGCCACCCAGGTGCCCTAGTACTTCCTTACTTTAGGTACAAGATGCTCTAGGCTCATTTTGTAACTTCCTTGCCTCAGGGCTGGAATTAGCTGATTCGTGGAGGAGCTCTGATTTATTAGAGAAAGGTATTTAGAAACCAAGATCCAGGTGCTAAGTATACTCACACTATGGAATGTTACTGCTTCTAGAACCTCTTAAGCAGACAGAGCTAGGAAATGTATTTGCCTCGATGTGCATCTCTAACCAACTACAGGTATTCTTTCTCAGTCTGTATATATATTACAAACTCTGAGTACACACTAACACTCACAGTTCCAGTCCAACTCCACTGGTTCATTCATATTTAAAACTGCTTTCTCCAGCAGTGAGAAACCTCTCATTATCCACAATATATTTATTTGTTTAATTGTATTTTATACAGAAAGTAGTTTTTAAATTGCTAACCCACACCCTGTGAAAAACAAACTTTCTAAATATAGGAAATACTTGTGCATAGTTCCTTTAGTCATGAGCCTTAGAGCATACATTTGAAAACACTGTTTTCCAACTTAGGTTAGTTCCTTTTCCTCACTCCCTTCAGTGTGGTCATGCTATTTCTTTATAATGCAGTTATGTTCATTTGTTATGTTTGTGTCCAGCACACACTGGTTGATGTTAACTATTTATTTGTGTTTGGAGTAGATGAAACATTACCATGATTCTAAACTATACAATAAGATATACACAGAAATGTTCTCCCCCCTCATCTCTACTAACTTGTTCTCATTTTCCCATTATTTCCACCTTCCTTCCTACCTACCTCCTTTGGCCACTAGTCACAGTTCCTGGTTTATACTTCTTGTACTTCTTCTGCAAAAATGAGCTAATATCTGGGTTTTTTCCCTCTTATATCCCCTTCCCTTAACATTACTATAAATGGGTTTTAGAAATATTTGATTAATTCTTTATCTCATTTTACTTTTTCTGTTTCCAAATATCTTAAGACAGGGTTATGACTGATTTTTGTCTCTCATCTTGTTAGGATTGTACTTTCCTGGGAAATTTTAGAGTAAGTGGTTTATTTTTACTTTTTCTCCCAAAAGCCCTTTTTGGTTTTCTGGAACAAATCAGTTATATAAAAATGTATTTTCACTTATCAAGGGTAAGGTGTCCTGCTTTCCCTCTTTGAAACAAGTTCGCCATGTGGGAGGAATACAGAAGTTTGACTCTGTCCGAAACCACGATCAACTTGTTCTGGAAAAGTCTTCTCCGTCTTTACCAGTTTGCCATTTCTTTCTTTCTTTCTTTTTTTTTTTTAAAGATTTTATTTATTTATTTGTTAGAGAGAGAGCACGAGCACAGGCAGAGTGGCAGGCAGAGGCAGAGGGAGAAGCAGGCTCCCCGCCAAGCAAGGAGCCCGATGTGGGACTCGATCCCAGGACGCTGGCACCATGACCTGAGCCGAAGGCAGCCACTTAACCAACTGAGCCACCCAGGCGTCCCACCAGTTTGCCATTTCTGATAGCATCACCTATACATTTAGATTCAAGGCCAGGAAGACATCCCAGAACTAAAGCCAGTTCTGCAGTGAAGGGAACAGGAGACAGTGATGATCCATCATATATCATTATAGACACACAAGAGTTAAGAGTGCCTGTCACTTCTGTGAAAAGGGA